GGAGAAAATATGAACAAAAGATGAAAGGGTTGTAAAGAGTTATTAAAGTTGGTAAGAAATGTTTCGATCCATTAAGTCTTATACATTTCTTACCGTTACCACAATTGGACCTCGTCAGCACTATTGTTGCAAGAGTGTCGATAACCGATCAAAAAAATTATGAATATAATTTTAAAAATGCTAAAACGGGGCAAAAAAGGTCCGGTACACGATAAATCTCATGCTGTGTGAAGATGTATTCCTTGGCACAATACCCCAATCGCATAAATTCCGGTCCAAATTCAAAATGATTGTGAAGACAAAACTTGGAAAATCTGTTACAAATCCAGCACTAGCAGGCTGGATCCCGCTATCGGCGTAGCTGGCAACTTTTCCATCGATTACGAGCTTGAAGCAACCTTCAGAACAGCCTTGCCAACGAGTGGTTGCTATTGGCCAACGAGTGGTCGCTATTGGCACTTGTTGCCGCTCGGACTATTAGCGACAGCAGCCAACGAGTGCTCTCTACCGGTATTTGTCACTGCCCGAACTATTTCTGACAGCAGCCAACGAGTGATTGCTATTGGCCAACGAGTGGACGCTTGGCATTTGTCACTGCTCGAGCTATTTCCGACAGCGACCAGCGAGTGGTTGCTACTGGCATTTGCTACCACTCGTACTATTTCTGACATCGGCCAATGAATGGTCGCTATTGGCATATGTCACTACTCGAGCTATTTCTGACAGCAACCAATGAGTGGTCGCAATTGGTGTTTGTCACTACTCGAGATATTTCTGACAGGGACCAACGAGTGGTCGCTATTGGCATTTGTCACCACCCGGGCTATTTCTGACAGCGGTCAACGAGTGATCGCTATTGGCATTTGCTACCATTCGGGCTATTCCAGCAGTGGCCGACGAGTGGTCGCAACTGGCATTTGCTACCGCTCGGTCTATTTCCAGGCACTCTCTCCCCGAAGACGAATACAGCGGGTAGGAGATTTTGACAAATTTTTTTTTTCTCGCATTCACACCATCCTCGCGCCGAGTTCTTTCTAGCGATAAGGTCATCCACACGAATCTGTCTTCCCATTAA